TTCTTACCTAAATTTAGGAAAATATTTCAATAGGTCGAAGGACAAATGGACGAAAACTAATCTACAGGAATAGCTAATTTTGGTTTTCGTCCACCCCAGTGCTTGCTCATGACGTCATGGACGAAAACACAACAACGTTTAAAGCTGTTTTTTGTTTTCGTCCACATCTTTTTAACGGTTTTTATGGGTTTATCACTGTTAAAAAGTGGACGTAAACTAAAATGTTTAATGTAATAGCAATAAAGATCATATTGGAAGAAAAAACATTGTATTTTGTAGGTCCATTGAAGTAAAATGATTATTAAAAATATTAACTAGGTGTCAGGGTTTCCGTCCACGTGGACGAAAACCAAAATCTTGCAAAATTGTTATGCTAGTATTAGTCCACTTAATTATCTAAGATTTCTATACAAAAACTTTAATAAACCCTTAAAATAGTGTTTATTATGCTAATAATTAGACATACGTGCCAAAAACATTACGTAAAGTAGCTAAAACAGTAATTAAACATACCATGAAAGTTCCCTACCGGCACGTTTTTTTTCTAACTTGACGACGTTTTCCATTCACCTGTGTGCAGCAGCAACTTCCGTAGATTTTTTTGGAGTTATTACTTGTCAAATTACATTTTCATGCGGACATAACTGTTACTTAGATATTATAGAATGTAACAAGTCCAAACTTTCACGGAAAGTTAGGTTTGTATTCTAATTTTCCGTATTTGTTTGTGGCAAGTCGGTCAAATGGACGAAAACAGGAGCTGGACGGAAAACCGGCGCAATTACCCTACAACACTGTAATTTTTGTTGCCAAATAAGTACCTATTAAAGTCACATTTTGTGGTAGGTTGATCTGCTAACTGCAAGTTAGGAGAGAAGGAGGTAAGACGGGGTTACCCAACGAAAACTGACTAATTAATCTCGTTCTACTGCCAACCGCAGTTTACTACCTAAGTATAGTAAAGTGGATAGCACGTCAAACTGAAACTATGTTTCAAAACAGAAAACAAAGGTTTATTTTTTGTATGGAGTCTGGTATGGAGGTCCAAGTCCATACCATCCGCAAATTGGCAAAATATTGATTTTTCCAATATTTGAGTAATCACAAACATTACTATGATACCTCACAGAGCACAGGATCACACACGAACCAATCATATAGCTATATTGCGAACGCTGTGCATTCAATTTGCTGCTTCACTTAAGCAAGCATCGTTTGTGAATATGGGCGTGAAAAACAGACCTCTAAGGCTGGGTTGCACCATCTTTCTTTAACATTGACAAACGTCAAAAATCTGTCAAACTCAATACAAAACGCTCCGTTTATCGTCATAGTTACCGTTAAAGTTAGGTGGTGCAACTCAGCCTAAATATATCACTACTAATATCATAAATGCGAAAGTCCCGAAAAAGGATATAGGATACTTTTTATCCCGGTTTTTGAAACAGGAGCGTGCGCGATTAAGTTTTCCTGTAACAGACAAATTTTCACGCGGGCGAAGCCGCGGGCAAAAGCTTGTAACTACATAATGATAAATGTTACTAAGTACACTGTGGCTAAAATTATGATTAAATACTTCCTATAATTAACAATTCTGTGCGGAAACCAACGAGCATTTCAATAAAAACTTTTTTAATATGTCAAAATGAACATCACTGGTTGAGTGGATGGATACAAAGTGGAATAAATAGAATATTTCCTTTTGAAGAGAGGTATCTAATTAAAAGTTGAACAACAGGCAATTCTACGAGTATAACGGCGCTCACGAATGAACAAACGAATAAAAGTACGTTGTAGAGGTATTAATGTAGTAATAATGGAGTTAATACTTTATTTGGGAAAAGTGATAAAATTATTTTTACATAATATATACCTACATAAACTACTGAAAGATAAAAAGCGGATTCTATTTAGTTTTGAAAAACTGTTTAATTATCATAGCAAAGATAGGCATAATTATCCTACCACAAACATTTTCATGCAAAATGTTGCCTAGAGAAGACCATCAACTTCAACAAGCTTCTAACTCTTTACGCCCTAACTCTACAAGATCTAACAAAACAAGCCCTACATTAAGATTTATGAATAAGTTCAAAATAAAAAAAATAATTTTGTTTGAAATGACTGTGTGTAACAATGACTAAAAATATTCATTTTTAAAAATTGGGACAAAATATAAACATCCCGTTAAACCCAAACAAACAATTTAAACACAATGACATTTCGATTCATCACTCCGTGATCGCAAAATGTTCGGTATACTGATCAAAATAGCAATCAATCACTTATAACACTCAGCTTGGCTTCACAACGCGGGTGTTAATTATTACCTAATGTATCGGCTTGATTTAATTAGTTTAATTAACGAAACTTATATCTTATTAGTTGGGATATCAAATAACAAAATGGTAGAGATTGCCCTACCTACACATTGAATATAGATATTCTACATACATACGGTTTAAAATGTCTGAAAACTTTATCTGGATTCAAAAAAGCAAAGAAATAAAGTTCAAAAAATATTATTTCAAAAATATAGGAATCTTTACCTATTAATTCCCACGTCTCGCTACACTACAGCAAGGATTTGACCCAACTAGCGAAGGTTCAGTAGGTAGAAAGAAGGTCCGTCATCGGACCAATATAATTTCCTTTATTTGTTTTCTTTGAATAATAAAATAGATTATCAGTAGTTGTCATCGTATTTATAAATTAATGCCATATTTTTTGAGAGGAAAATAATATAGTGTTACTAGGTTCCTTATTGAGATACTCAAGTAACCACAAATTAGAATAATTATATTGTTGTGTATCCACGGGATTTTTCCTTGCTGTAGTGTAACGAAACGTGGGAAATAGGAAAATAATTTATTATCACAAAAACCACCCACTAGTAATTATCAAAAAATTGGAAGGCGCAAAAATCACCCTCATTTACTCGACCAATTAAAAAAGCATGTCATCACATTTCCCCACTGAAATTTTAATCATAATCCTCGTAAATCGGGTCCCAGAGGCAATAAACTGATTAAAATTCCCGTGTTATAAAATCAAGCAGTATGCAGATTTTGTTTTATGTCCGACAAAAATTTTAATAGTCGGCTGCAAACGTTTGAAGTTAGCTGGTAAAAATTAGAGGGGATATTATTTACTGCATTTTTATAGCGTGGACGTTGCACGAGACGTTACTCAATTTTGATGCATGAGGAAGCTTTGAAAAAGAATTCTATTGGGTGCTGATCAGTGGCTAAAGTTAATAAAAAACATTTTTTAGAGTTGCTACACGATGGGATAGATAAAATTATCAACCCTATCTATATCTATACTTACATAGATACTTAACACCATAGCTGTCAAAAATAAACTTCAACCCTTCTTACACCCTACAGACCTCTTTGATTACAAGCCCTAAAACCTATCAAACTTCTAACATAGATGTATAGATAATGGACTAAATAAATTGTCAAACGTAATAAGTAAACATGTGATAAGGGTCCAGGACCTTGTCGCCTTAGTTTCCGAGTAATCCATATGTAACAGTCAAAACTCGTAATCGGTCAAAACTACTTTTGACTGCAAGAATCAGTCAAAAGTGGTTTTGACTGATGTACTTGGTCACTATCACTTTTGACTGATTATTCCAGTCAAAAGTGGTTTCGTTTGATTTAAAATCTTACCAATTGGCCTAAATTCATACAAAGTGTTATGATTAGTGAAAATTAATTGGATATCATCAAAAATGTGTAATCAAACCATTTTAAAGTGTCCCGTTTATGTCATTTGTGCATTAAAATTGACCACACCTACTATAGATAAGTCTACAGTAATGTTGCTTTTTATTTATTCTCAATATTTTTAAGAAATCTAGGTATTCTTCAAGTAGAGATAGGTAGATTATTAATTTTAACTGATTTTTTGCGGTAAAAGTGGTTGACCAAAACCAAAGTAGAAACGCGTTTGGTCAAAAACTGAAAAATCAGTCAAGAGTGGTTTTGACCGGTTATAAGTTTTGATTGTAACACATACATATTTATGTCGAGAATTTCATGTAGATTTTGGATCCATTAATAACTTCATACTGACAGGCCCTATTTCCTTGACACGTCACTTTACCCGTTCATGTAAACGGCTGAAGAAGTTGAAATGTTTTCTAATGATTATTGTGATCTGCCTATCCAGATTCTATTTTACTATTACATAAATTGTATATTTATTGAAGCTGCCATTTAAACTCTTGAAAAGCCACTACCTTGCATTTTAAAGAAAAAAAAAATACATTATCTGTTATAGAATTAAAATAATGATATTAAATATAATATCTTTTTCCAAGTACCAAACCTCATCTAAAGTTCTTCTTGATTTTATGATAATAATTTGATACAATAAATAGTCGTCATTAATAGCTATTGCATCTGCAGAATGCACCAATTTCGTACTCCTAAATGCTTAAGCTGCCTTTTCTTTAGATGTCTTCTTTCCAGGTTTAATTTCGTAATATGAAACGTAGTTTGAGAGTTTCCACTCAAGCTTAAATTCAAGACTGAAAATAATATGTGTAATTTTTTTATCAATAAAAATAGATCTACTAAAGTTTCAATAAATCGGTAAAATCACGAGTGTCATCGTAAGCTTTACTTGGATGTTTTGTTAAAAAGTTGAATTAACTTTCAAGAAATTGTTGATAAAAATAACTAAAGCTTTTTATCTCAATAACTTAAAACTACTACATACGAAATTTTTATGACTAAGTAACTTTATGCACCAGTAACTTTGCAAGATATTTCCAGTTTCAGTAACAACATTTTGCGACTTTTATCATAATCATTAATATATTTTCTTACTAAACTCATTAAGTTGTTCAGTTAAGGAATTACAGTAACGAAGTAATTTGTAACTTGTTTACACAACTTAATTACGTCTAAGAAATCGTCCCTCGAAATTCTCGCAGCACCCGTTCGCATTAAAATTCCAAAAGTAACTTAAAAAGTAAACAAACTTACTTCAAACAATTAAATCCGATCGCTCCGAACTTTGTTTTCACTTTGCGGATCACCACCCCACAGAACAAACCACTCGTTCCAATAAAGAATTTTATTTTCGTCACTGTAATACTAGAACTGTCGACGGCTGGTGATACGAAGAACGTAATAATATCGAAAGAGATACGCGACGGCAAAGTACGTCCTAGCTTGGACGCGTTCCGGCGAGATCTAAAAAATCAGAGTCCTGGAAGCTTATTGCCGTACTGTCTCGTGTGGAAATTCGGTATACCCACTACCAACCCCAATTTCAACTTTAAAGCATCACTAATACAGTCGCTACTCGAGAGAGGGTACCGTCCGTAGAATACGAGATCCAAAATTCCCGATCCCGTTCCCAAATTCAACTGTAAACCAATCCTAATAAAGTTGAAAGTTGGATAAAGAGAGGGTCCGTAGAACACGAGAGGGAGCACAGATGCTGCGCGCATGCGATATCGAAAACTCACACACAAATCGCGATTGTGTTTGTGTGAATGAAGCACGTTACATTGTTCGCTGGGAGCTGGACACCATTGTAGTGGACATCCGAGCAGATAACTTGACGCAACATAAACTGTGATTAATACATTCGATAGGTGCAATGTTGGCCGTGGACATTGGTCTATTGGTTCAAATGTGCCAACCAAGAGACGATGCACATTTTATTTGCGATCGTCTTTTTTTTCATTCTAAACTTTTAAAAACCATAGGTGGTTTAATGTGACCAATTTTGATAGCAGTATCCTTAGCTTTGGAAAAATAATCTCGTAATACATGAAAAAGACTAGTTACTTAATTAATAACGTTACCGTGGGAATGAACTTACATAAGTTTAATTTTATCTAGGTATTTATCTGNGTAAATTTAAAAGTTACAAATGCAAAATTTGCAAAAAGATTGGTCATTTAGCGGCTGTTTGTAAGAATAAAAATGCCAAATTAGTAAATGTTATTGAGGAAACAGTAGAACCTGTGCAAATGTTTACAACAAATGTTCAAAATGTTAACTATGTAAATCCATTTGTGATAAATTCACAAGCAAACGGTAAGTCGTTGCAAATGGAATTGGATAAGAAAGTATTCGCACATAATACTATTTTAGAACCAACTGAAATTGAATTAAAAACTTATAATGGTGAAATTTTCAAGCCTACTGGCAAGGTTAATGTATTATTGAAAATAGGCAACAAAGAGTTAAACTGTGGATTATTTATTTGTCGTAAATAATGGTCAAAAATGTTTATTTGGGCGAGATNCACATTATCTAATACTGATAAATAGATTTAAATAAAAAGTCAGTTATTAAGTTGAGTTTTAGACGATTAGTTACCGGTTCCTGATAAAATATCAGTTTGTTATCTGACGAGCTACCGCGTTATCTTTATCTGCCAGATTACGAATTGCCAGACGACTTTATCCGAGAACTGTGAAAGCTAAAGTTATAGTTTAGACTTTACACTAAGTGTATTTAACTTCGGAAAGTATAGAAAAAAGTTGTGTGTTTTGAAGAAAAAAAGAGTCTGATGAGACTATAATTTTGGCCTTACTATCTGATAAAGGTCATTGACCTTTACATTTTTAGCAAATAACTCGTAATATTCACTGCAAATTAAACTTTAATAAAAACCTGATTAGAATGTTCTTTGGATAATATTTAAGCTGAATAAATATTATATAAACATTTTCATTTGAAAATTTCATTCGAAATTTATCTACGAATATTTAATTATACCTACTGTGTAACTGATTCGTACGTAAGTAGCATCAGAAATAAGATATTTTATTATCTAGATTTATTTGATTCATTATCTGATATCAAACATTGTAAAGCCTAGCCTTAGAGAATTTAATTCAAGCGTATATTTTTCTAAAGTAATAAGAGTAATAAGCTTTATTTATGCTAGTAACTTACCTACTTACTTAGGTTTATTGTATAAATTAATGTAACAAAATAAGTAGAGTGTATTACGGTCATTCTCCGGATCTGGATTATTTTGTTGATTACCCCGACCTTTTTTATTTTTGAATTTAGACTAAGTTTAGGTAAAACATTTCAAAATAGACATTATTACGAGCATATTTTTTATATTGGCCCATCGGTAGCAAGCAGGAATAAAAAGTTATGCGACATCAAAATTTTCATGGTCGGGGTAATCAAAGTTGGGAGTCAGAGTAATCAATAATAAAACAAAATATTTTATTTTATAAGGTTTTTTTTAAGTTATGGTTAAATAAATGTTATTATAACTAGCCATTTGTTATTTTGATGTATAAACGACAATGTTGTAAAGTTTCAACAAAATCTGTTAAGTAGTTGTTGCGTAAAAGAGTAAAAAACATACATATACATTTTACATATAACATTAGTGACTCAATGTCCTATGTCTCCTATATGGGACAGAAGGCGTCCACAACAGTCCCCCATCGCATTCGGTCTTGAGCTTCGCGTTTGATCTCGCTCCAAGTCTTAACAGTGCGCCGCTATGTTTTTTTGGCGCGACCACGTTTGCATTTTCCCTGGGGGTTCCAATCTAGAGCCTGCTTGGGGATGTGATCGGGGTCCCTTCGGAGAGTGTGGCCGATCCAGTTCCACTTGCAGCGTTTATTCTGCTGAAAGATCGGTATTTCGTGGCAGCGTTCCAAAAGTTCGTCGTTTGAAGATTTTGGAGAATTCGGCGAAGACAGCGGCTGAAGAAGATCTGCAGCTGGTGCGAGATAACCTTAGTGACCTTCCACGTTTCACGCCCATAGAGCAGAACTGGTTTGACGTTGGACCCGAATATTTTGATCTTGCTTGGGTCAATTTCCGTGACTGCCATACGGCTCGAAGTTGTGCGAAGGTAGCTCTGGCCTTGGCAATGCGCGAAGTGATGTCCTCTTCGGTACCTCCAGGCTCTGAAACGATGCTCCCGAGGTAAGTGAAATTGTGGACTCGTTGGACATCCTCTGCACCAACGGTGTGCAATTCCTCACTCCAGATCGCATCTCTTGGGTCTTCCGGTACTGATACCCTTGCTTTACCCTTTTTTCGGCACAATAATTAGAAGCCCCTTATGCCAGTCGTCTGGGAGTTCCTCTTCCATCCAGATGTTTTCGAAGACAGGTGTCAGGACGTTAACGGCGGAGTTTACATCGGCTTACAGCATTTCAGCGGTGATAAGGTCGAGTCCAGGGGTCTTGCCAATTTTGAGGGATAATATTATGTATTAATAGGAGATAGGATTTCATTTTAGTAAAGGGTAATTTTGCTTATTAAACGTTATTTAGTTAATCATTCATTAGTAAAATTACAGTATTATTGATTACTCGGTGACAAAAGTCGGGGTAATCAAGGTCGGGGTAGTCAAAAAATTAAGGTTTATCCTGAGCCCTGCCCAATCTGTAAGTTGAATCCCATATGTTTTAATACACAAAAATGCGGTTACATGGACCATTATTCCTGTACATTCTCAAGAACTTTCCATGTAAAGAAACCTAAAAAAACAGGATAGAGTAAATCAATCGTGCACTGAACCAAGGTCGGGGTAATCATATTCTTATCTCGATAACTCCGAAATCCTGCGACGAGTTGCATTACCGATCACCTCGGCACGCAGGCCACCACTAAAGGTTCACGGGGGAGGATAGAGCTCGTTTCTTAACCCTTAACCACCTACCTGCGGTCTCAGAGACCGCAACGATTTTTCAAATTCAAATATTTCTGCGTGTGATTGGCGTGCGACAAAGCGCGGTCATGTACCTTTTCTACACACCACTCGGTGTCGCGCTAGCGCTCGGCGAGTGTGTACGTGCGCGCGTTTGGCCAGGGTAAGTAAAATAAATTCGCCAGCGGTCTCCGTGACCGCACGTAGGTGGTTGTGTGACTTTTTATTATTACTGTTTTAGAATCAAAATGTGTAAAAATGACGAAAATATTATAAGATGGCTTCAGCAAGAAATCTCGGACGAAGATGACCTTTCTGGCGACGATTGCAGCGACGTCGAATCTGATGTAACCGTTGATCAAGAGCAGGCTGAAGAGAGTGGATCTAAATCTGAAATTGAAGGTGACGACGACGAAAATGATGACGATGATGACTTGAAGTTCGTAAAACATGCTTTACGTGTCATCCAAAAAAGAAACGCAAAATGGCTTACCTATGTTTCGTGTGTAAAGTACCTATTTGTTTGGAGTGTTTGCAAAAAATGTGTTGTTACTGCCGCGAAAAAATGCAAAAGTTGAGGCTTTGCAATTTTGTTCAAATTTTTATTTTTTGTTTAGTTTTTTTATTTGATTTAATTTTTAGTTTATTTAAATTATTAGAAATAAGAAAAAGAAGTGAAAAATTTAAGTATTTTGGAATAAAGATCCCATTTTCTTAATATAGTTATTTTTGGTGCCATATTCCTTATTTCATAGACATTATTCCATTTTTATAAAACTTTTATATTACTTTTGCTAATTTGTGACGCTTAAATAAAGCAAATAGGTATAGACATGCATTTTATTTAACCGAACTTTAATTTCTTATCATAGATCCCAAAATAATCGCAATTATTTATTAGCGGTCTCTGTGACCGCATGTAGGTGGTTAAAGGACAGAAATAGGTGCTAGGTGGTTAAGGGTTAATTGCGTAGCTAGGGACGTAGGCGCATATTAGTGACGTGTCGGGGTAATCACGGTTAACGCCTGGACACAACTTCAAATAGTTATTATACAAAACCTTTTAGTCATATAGTTATATCGTATTTAATTTATCAATGTTTATTTAATCAGTAATCGATTACATAAGCATTGAAAGCGGTAATAATAACAGATTAATTTATACGAGCAAATTTGTTCTGAAATCGGGAGCGCGGACACGTCGTGGTAATCAATTTTTGACGACTTACGATTTTTTTTAAATTACTTAATTAACTATTATTAACTATCTCTGTGGTTTAACAACAAGAACCAAAGTTATACTATTAGATAAAAATATTTGTTACTAAAATATTATGATATTCGGGTACTTTTTGGGCCCGGACACGTGATTTTCTTGGCCGGTGGAATGACCCATTATTGTTTCTGGCTTATTTATTTTAGTGTGTGATCAGGTGATCCGTTTGCTCGTTTGCCTCCTGTCACATAAAAAAAATACAATGGAAGCGTCATAAGAACGGATTAGTGGACGAGAAAAAACATGATCACA